ATGGCATTTAACACATGTGGTTCGCTTGCAATCATCGGATACACTTTTCAAGTCATAGGAAAAAATCTTCGAAAACAAGACTTTTTGTCATTCGTTCGACAACTGTATTCAGAATGATGCAATAGCAGTTAGCATTCTGCAAGACGTGTTCATTCGACTCAAGAAAGATCATTCTGAAATCGAATCAGCATGTATACGTTGTGACAATGCAGGGTGTTACCACGGAGCTGAAATGCTACTTTCTGTGAAGGAACTATATGAAACAACAGGTATTTTAATTCGTCGTGTTGACTTATCAGAAGCTCAAGCAGGGAAAGGTCTCTGCGACCGTAAGGCAGCTGTCATAAAGGGTGAAATTCGAAGATACGTCGATGAAAAGCATGACTGCACTTCAAGTGCAGAATTTGTTGCAGCTACAAAATCAACACAACACCTGACGATTCTGTCATGCGTATTACCAACATTCAAAACAAACGACCAAAAAGATTAAATGGGGTGGTATTAAAAATTATAGCAACATTGAATTCATTCCAAAGAATAATACAGTATTCAATATAAGATCAACAGTAATAGCACTGCCCGCTTCAGCTTCTGCTTCATCATCTTTGCCAATAACAGGTACACCATCATTAGTATCATCATCACAATCATTTACAATATTAATAGCATCATCTTTATCAAGAACATCATTAACAACAACAGCCAATATTTTCAATCAATTACCAATAGAACTCGAAATAAAAGTGTGGCGAGCTTTTGCCATAGGTTCAGGAAAAACATTTAGATTATCAGATTTCGAAGGAGCCCAAAAAAGTACACCATTGCTTATCGATTCTAATGCACAACATCTGAACAATGAATGGAAATTTGAAGCAACAAGAAAAGGTAGAAAAACATCGCATTAATGTTTTTTAGATATCAGCTGCTCTCTTGTTATAGAAGAAAATAGTGACGATGAAAATAGTGAAAATGAGCTTATTGATAATGATGATGATAGTCAGGTAGATACAAATCAATTCCAAAATGAACCAGTTAATCATCATGGCTTCGACATGTGGGAGTGCACTTATGAAAGGTACATTTTACAATTTTGTCGTCGTTCAGATCGTGACAATCATGTTGATACAGGAAAACATAAACTGGAACCATATGTTGTTCCCATGATAGAAAAAGCGAAGTTAATGTACAAAAATTGTCTACACAACGACAATGTTCAAAAGAATGTTCCGCTAAATAATTTCACTGTTATTCAAGATGTAAATTCAGCAAATACCACGAAAAATTTACAGCAAGGTTGGGCTCTGCCTTCAAAGAAGATTCAGAAACGATTCAACTCGAATAAAAAAAAATTATGATTGAAGCTTATGATGAAGGAGATGAAACCGGCTTTAAGTTCAATCCAACAACACTGTCTCTTGTAAGTAAGACTACACTCAGAAAAAGTAACTTGTTCTGTTTAGGAAATGCCATATATGAAAGAGAACGGCAAATTTAGTTTCAAACCTGATGAATGGCTAACTGCAAGACAAATTAAAAGTTTCTTTTCAATTCTAACTCAAAATCGACGTCAGAAGGCAAATTTGATGGCTTTCACCACTACAATTACTTCAAAGAAGGTTTCAAAAAAAATGTCAGCAATGCTGAAGACTTGAATTCAAGCATGAATCAATATAACCTGAAACCAAAGAACAATGATAAGATGAAAAATTACATTCATGATGACGAAGTTCTTGATGAATTTATATCCAATTCCAGTGAAGGAAACCAGACCACCGATGAAGAAAATGACAACGACTTCGATTCTAGGATCATTGCGATGAACATGGAAGAAATATTACCTTCAGCTGAAGAAGTTCTTATATCTGAAATGAACCAGTCATAATCAACTAAACAGATTCCATAATAAAAAATGTTTCCGAAATAAAATATAAATCTAACATTTATTCGAGAGAAAACCGATTCCATGAACTATTTTAAATGCGTATAATATAAAACATATCCTCTCAAAAATGCCTAAAACTTACCATCGATCATAGCAACACAACCAAATATAGACCTTCTTTATCTAGCAAGTCATATAATTCTCAGTGATAATCCCATGTCATAGTTCTCACCTGGCTCTAATTGTGTCAGTAGTGCTGACTATTCATTCCTCTTTTAGCTCCGCTCCTTATATACACGCATTCCTCACAGATAACAAGCTTCTCTTCATACTTTATCCTCTTTTCAAGAGTCGTAAGATCCTTTTAAATTAATTTTTTGTATAAAGTCCTTCTGGAGCTCTCTATGAGCGAAGGTCGTGAGTTATACATTAACAGTGAAGGATTGCAGATCATCTGCGATCCAGCGACAGGAAAATATTATAAAGTAATTGAATATGATCAACATAACTCCTTAGTAAATTACTGTCATCAATCGTCAAAGTCCAATCAACACCATAATGAAAGCTCAATCTCAGCTTACCACTCGGATCGAACCCGTTATGATGTACAGTCAGTGTCTAATCAGCAATTAAATGCAGTAACGCAACAGACAACATCTAATCAAAAGAAAAAGATACAACAAACAGTCACGTGGAATAGTGACACAGAGCAAAACTATTCTCATCGTACAGCAAATGAAAATTCCAACACGCCACTTGAAACAGAACAACAATAAGATCAATCACCACGTGCTTGCTTGAA